ACACCAAGCGTCTCGATCGAGACATCTTTAATACCTGGGCACGTGAAAACAAGCCTCTATATATACATATATATATATATATATATATATATATATGTATCGAGCGAGTTTACACCCGAGCGAGTTCGCACCCTCATGACTTCAAATCGAGCGAAATTCAACGAACGACAAAAAACGAGCGACATTTAACGAGCGAAAAAACAACGACTTCAAACCCGAGCAAATTTTAATCAAGCGAATTTTCGCCCGAACGAATTTACACCCGCATGACTTCAAACCGAGCGAAATTAAACGAGCGAAAAAAAGACGAGCGAACTTACACCCGAGCGAAATTAAACCCGAGCGAATTTAAACCCGAGCGAATTAAAACCGAGCGAAATTCAACGAGCGAAATAAACTCGAGCGAAACAAGGTGAATCGTGCGAGCACCCCCCCGTCTTGTCCAATTTGAGGAACCTCCACTGGCGCTCTTTCCCAAACAGGCCCCCGGCTGCGATCCCCGCCGCGATCCCACGCAAAAAAGCGTAACGCGTTGCACATCGGCTGATCGCAAAATCCTCTCACCTTGAGCACCGTCGTATAATGAAAACATATGGCGTGCACACTTTCTGATCGTCGCACCTTCCCAACCCGCAGAATCCCTTCCAAAGCATGTCAGCTGGTGAACATCGGCTGATCTTCATAGCGATCCAGCAATCACCGCCCCCTGAAAACATGATCGACCCACGAACCCAGAAAGGGATATGGAATTTTAAGGCATGGCAACGTCTCAAAGACACCTGATTGGGCGACGGGCAAATGCAATGCTGAATGTATCGATCTTGATGTACCGTGCCGAGGGCTGTGCTGTGCTTCGCCGTGCGGAATTGCGATGTGCCATGCCGCGATTGTGCTCTATAGCTTTGTGGATCGAGTCCTCCTTTGCATCCGAGTCCTGACCGAACTGATCTGGATCTTAAGCTCGAGCTGCGTGAGCACACAGTAGCTGCCCCAGAGCTAATTGACAGGGGGACATGCCAGGAGGACGCGCCGCGGAACGTCCCAAGGGACGCGCCAAGGGACGTGCCAGGGGACGTGCCATGGGGACGCACCGCGGGACGTGCCAAAAGGACGCGCTACGGATCGTGCCAATGGACGTGCCACGGGACGTACCAGGGGACGCGCCGCGCGACGTGCCAAGGGGACGCGTCACGGGACGCACCACAGAACGTGCCAAGGAACGTGCCAAATTGCAATGCTGAGTGTATCGATCTTGGTGTACCGTGCCGAGGGCTGTGCTGTGCTGCGCCGTGCTGAATTACGATGTGCCATGCCGCGATTGTGCTCTATAGCGTTGTGGATCGAGTCCTCCTTTGCATCCGAGTCCTGACCGAACTGATCTGGATCTTAAGCTCGAGCTGCCTGAGCACATAGTAGCTGCCCCAGAGCTGATTGGCAGGGGAACATGCCAGGAGGACGCGCCGCGGAATGTCCCACGGGACGGGCCAAGCGACGTGCAGGGGACGTGCCACGGGAACGCACAGCGGGTCGTGCCGAGGGGACGCGCTACGGAACGTTAAAATACGTGGTCCTTGCTCGGGACAACTATGTTAGATCTCCCCCCTGGATGGCCTGAACACCTAAAAACACATGGTGCCAGCGCGGGACAATCATGTTAGATACACCCCTGAATATCCTGGACATATTAAAACACGTGGTCCTTGCTCAGAACAATCGTGTTATATACCCCCCTGGGTGGCCTGGACACGCAAAAACGCGTGACTCAAGCTCGGGGCAACCATGTTAGGTATCCCCCCCCCTGGGCGGCCTGGGCATGTAAAAACATATGGTTCCAGCTCGGGACCACCATGTTCGATACCCCCTGGGTGGCCTGCACACGTAAAACATGTGGTCCAGCCCACCCAGGGGGGATATCTAACATGCGGTCGTCTGGAGCGCAGGAGGGCCCATGAACGCCCAGAGGCGCCTGGAGGCCAAAAAATCAACGAATCGATACCACATACACATAAACTCTCGACGTTCCGTTCCGAGTCCCAGGAAGCATCCAGGAAGCCCATGTTAGATACCCCCTGAGTAGCCTGGACACGTGAAAACACCTGGCCTGGACACGTGAAAACACACGGTTCCAGCGCAGGACCACCATGTTAGATACCCACCTGGGTGGCCTGCACATGTGACACACACGGTTCCAGCGCAGGACCACAATGTTAGATACCCCCCTGGATGGCGTGGACATGTAAAAACACGTGGCTCCAGCTCGGGATCACCATGTTAGATACCCACCTGGGTGGCCTGCACACGTGAAAACACGTGCTTCCAACGCGGGATCACCATGTCAGATACCCCCTGGGTGGCCTGAACACGTGAAAACACGTGGTTCCAGCTCGGGACCACCATGTTAGATAACCCATGAGTGGCGTGGACACGTGAAAGCACGCGGTTCCAGCGCGGGGCCACCATTTTAGATACACCCACCTGGGCGACCTGGGCACGTGAAAACACGTGGCTCCAGCGCGGGACCACCATCTTAGGCACACCCTGGGTGGCCTCGACAGGTGAAACACGTGGTTCCAGCTCGGGACCAACATGTCAGATACCCACCTGGGTGGCCTGTACACGTGAAAACACCTGGCTCCAGCGCGGGACCACGATGTTAGATACCCATCTGTGTGGCCTGGACACGGGAAAACGTGGTACCAGCTCGGGGCCACCATGTTAGATACCCACCTGGGTGCCCTGGACACGTGAAGCGACGTGGTTCCAACTCGGGCAGATCATGTTAGATACTCCCCTGTGTGGCCAGGCAAATCCTGCAACAATTAACGAATTAGTCGAGACATCCTCGAAGTTCCTGCGCGCAGGACGCGACACGCGCGAGACATCCTCGGAATTCCTGCGCGTGGGACGTGAAAACAAACATTTCGCCTGAGACATCCTCTGATTTCTGGCCCCCCACGAGGCCCCCGCTCGAGACATCCTCCAACTCTGCAAAACCAGCGTTTCGCTCGACACATCCTCAACAAATGGTGAACAACAAGCGCTTCGCTCGAGACATCCTCAAATTTTAATCCGCCGGCCCACCCCAACCTCGCTAATCATCAGGAAAAGAATCCGCCGGCCCACCTCAGTCATGGCACGGGGGACAATTTACAAACTAAAAGAGAACCCTGGGCCCACGCCCTTTCCGGGAAAAACACGTTCGGTGCACACCTGCATATCTTCACAGTCGTCCAACCCTGGCGATCCCCAGCAAAAACAAACCACGTGGTGGACATCGGCTGACCTTCACAGCGACCCAACACTCACCATCCCATACAAAGCAGACCAATAGGTCACCCATCACCCTCGCGATCCCTGATGTATATATGTATGTGTGTACATACACATGCATGTATACATATATCTATATATGTATATACAAGCATATGAATGTAGACATGCAGACATCGATACACATATACACACACGTACATACATACATACATGCATACATACATACACACATGTATGCATATATACATACAGACAGACAGACAGGCAGACAGGCATACAAACACACGTACATACATACATACATGCATGCATGCATACATGCATGCATGCATACATACATATATGCATACATACATGCATGCAAACATATATATATACATACATAAATGCCTGCATACATGCATCCATAGTTACATGCATAAATACATACAAATATGAATACAGGTATACAGACAGACCTTCATGCATACAGACATATATACATACGTGCATGCTTGCATGCACGCATACACGTATACATATAAATAGATGCACATACATACATGCATGCATGCATACATACATACATGCATGCATACATATACACATGTAGACATACATACACACGTACACCTATATACATACATACATACATACATACATACATACATACATACATACATGCATGCATGCATGCATGCATGCATGCATGCATGCATGCATACATACATACATACATACATACATATACACATACATACATGCATGCATGCATGCAGGCATGCATGCATGGAACTACATATATATATATATATATATATATTTGTTGTAAACATCGGACGAAGCAACAACGGCATAAACACGACATTGTCTCTAGTAAGGGACCAGTTATGCGAGATTGTCTCTAGTAAGGGACCAGTTATGCGCAGACGGCGAAACACTAAAAATGTGATGGCACGGCCTGCCCTGAGAACGGCGACGCACTAAGAACTTCAGAAATCCTGTCAGCTTAAATGCCGATCGACACACAGTGCGGATCAGTCACGGCAGCTCACACGCCACATGCACGTTAAGGTCCGAGCAGGCAACGGCACGCAGACTGCTGACGCGGGCGTCTCGTGCACGTGCTGTCACGCCAGCTGCAGGAGCTCGTGACTGCTGACGCGGGATCTCAAACGAGGTGCACGTGCTGTCACGCCAGCTGGCGGAGCACGCGATGTCAAGGGAAGAGGAGTGTACTTCGGAAGTCTAGCTCCCCCTGTCACGAGTGGGGAGGACGATCACAAAGATGTGAACACTCCTCCGCAGGCATGTGCGATGCACACGCAGATCGCGTTCATGCCCAGATGGTCCCGGCATCTGCTGCTGTGGCATCCTTCTAGCCACCAGGAAGGGCCTCTCCCCCACTCGATACATGCGTACATACGTACATGCATGAATGCATACCTACCTACCTACATGCATACATGCATACATGCATGTGTCATTTACTGGACAGCGGCTGATCTCCACGGCGCGCCCCCAGGTCCCCCAGCCTTCCACAAGCGCCCTCAAAGCGCTCCTATGCCGCTGCCGTCGCGTCTGGGCGTCGAGGCCGCGCCCTCCGGGGGCGGCTGCCCGCGTCGCGGCCTCAGCGGCGGAGCGGCTTGACCAGCGTCCCGCGAGGGGGCTCGCGACGGCGGTCGCGGCTACGCGGCAGTTTGCCCGAGCGTCGCCCACTGCAGGAAGACAAGCTGGAAAAACAGGGAATGAACAGTGTTCTGAGATGACAGGCGTGCATTGGGAAGTCGCGCCTGCTTCCAAAAGATGAGCTGCGTGCACTGGGAAGTCGAACCTGTCTTTTTGGAAGCAGGTTCGACTTCCCCATGCACGCAGCTCTCTTCTGTTTGACGCAGGCTCGACCTCCCAGTACGCGCAGCTCATCTTTTGAGGCAGGTTCGACTTCCCAGTACACGCAGCTCATCTCTGGAAAAACAACGAATTAACAGTGCTCGAGGACCTCCAGCAGGCGAGCCCTCGTCCTCCAGCGAGCTCGGCCTCCTCCTCCTGAAGAGGCCCGCACGCGTATGCCTGGCGCGGAGGCTGCGGCCACCTGCGCTCTTCGAGCGCTGCTCGGGCGTCAGGCAGGGCACTGCGATGCGATTGCGGTGCGGTGCGACTGCAAGGCGACGCGAGTGCAATGCAACGGGGGAAGTCAACGGTGCGGCGGCGACCGCGCCCGCACACCGGCCTTTTGTGGGGAAGCATGGTGCGGCGACGGACGGGCGGTTCCTTGAAGTAAGAGCCCCTACGTGCCAGCATTGTTGAGGGAGCCCCCCAAGGGGCCCCAAGAGGCCCCCAAGAGGCCCCCAAGCGGCTCCCCAGAGGGCCCCAGGACTGCCCCCAAGTGGCCCCCGAGAGCGCTCGGAAGAGACCCCAAGAGGCATCATTGAGAACTCAGACCCGCAACCCAGGTATGGTGGCGGGATGGGCCGAAGGCCATTCGACCTGCTTGGCACGGGGACGGAAAGCGCATTTTCTTGCAGAGCGCGAGATGTCGCTGGCTTGCCCGTTCTTTCTCTCGGTCTCCCCGTCTGGAGGCTTGGAAAGCACTAGAGCGCGATAAAGCACGAATGAAGATTATGATAATCCTGTCGATGGTGATGACGACGACATACTGTCTCTTGGGAGCATCTTGGGCCTCTCCCAGGCCCCCCTTGGGCCGAAGTCTCCCGCCCGCCGCGTCGCACACTGCAGCTCCCGGTCCTTCTCTGGTGTCAGCCTGTGGACCCTCAAGCATGTCCTGTGCAAGTGAGCCTTCGCAGAGATCGATGAATCTAACGGGGCAAGCCGCTTCGGTGGCGCATGGAATTTCGCCACGAAAGCAGCATCAGAAAGCACGTCATACAAAGCTACCTGCGCCGCGCTACGCTTCGAGTCTTGCTCCGTCTCGCACACGCGACCTGTCCATACCTTCAGCCCCCAGCTCTCTGGGAGTTTGGGGCATCGAACTGTGCATTGGTATCCATCGCCCACCCACTGCGCCACGCTGTAGACCACCCGTTCTCCTGCCGATTCCCCCCGATGATCTTCTGGCACGCTGCATGCAGGTCCCCCCGCGCCCTCCGTCCTGGTGGCTCGTTGACCCTCCCAGCGCGCGAGGCAAGCGCAGCGAGTGTGCGAGACTGTTGGGAAGCGTTCTCTGCCAAAACGCTGCGGAAGCCCAGTCAGGATGCGCTCCGCGCTGCAGCTGCTGCTGCGCTGGCGGGACCCCGGCGCGGGAGACACCCGAAGGCCACCGCTGCAGCAGAGCAGGGGGAGGTGCCCGGCGCGGGAGAGCGCGCGCCAGAGGCGGGGCTCCCCAACCGCAGTCGCGCGGCATGCGCGAGGGTGGGGTGTGTGCGTTACTGCACGTGGGCCCCAGTGCCGGGCCCCCCGACGGGTGCGCCTCAACGACAGCGCTGCCTCCACCCGCCGGTGCCGACCGGCGGCTCGGGGTCCTGCTGGCCCGCTCCTGGCCCGTGCGGGAGGGCGTGCGGCGGAGCGGGGCCCTCGGGGCGCAGGCCGGATCCGGCACCGCGATGCGCGGCTCGGGGGGAGCCCCGGCAGCCGGTGGTCTGCCGGCCTCGGCGGGCAGGATGCCGCGGAGCTCGCAGGCAGCAGGGGAGGGGGGCGGAAGCTGCCGGTGCTCCTTCCGCACGCTGTCCACGAGCTGGACGCCCCCGATCCCGCAGCACGTGGCCCAGGCCGCGCGCCAGCTCAAACGGATCCTCCACGTGCAGCCTGGGCCTGGGCTTGCCGGAGGCCGCGCCGAGAGCGGGGACATCGCGCAGGAGCGCCATGGCGCCCCGGCCGCACGGAGACCACCTCTGCCCCAGAGTCGAACTCCTCGGCGCAGCAGCGGGAGAGGCCGCGGCACAGCGCCGCGAGTGTGGCCCCCGCTGGCCAGGCGCCCTGGGCCTTTGACCACCTCCAGCGCCAGCCCGTCGCTCTCGAACGCGGCGGGGTCCCTCTGGAACGCCACGTGCAGGTTCGGCAGCGGCGGGTGGACGCCCCTCTGGAGGAAGTGTGTCGCCAGCTGCGCCTATAGGAGGACAGGTGCCCCGTGCTCGCGCCGACGATCGGCGGCGAGCGAGGGGGGGAATGAGAAGGGGCGGGCCTTGTCAGAAGGCCCAAAGTCCCCCAGCCTTCCAAGACCTGAGAAGTTCTGCCAGCCTGCCCCGAGGGCGCCGAAGACCACTCGGCAGGCTGGAGGCCTCCCGAGCGGCCCCGCCGCCTTCTGAGGAGGCCTCCTCCGTCTCGCTCTCCCCCCTCGCTCGCCGCCGAGACGAGGCCGTGCTTCTGCGCCCAGGGCTTCACGCTGAGCACCAGGCCAGCCACCCGCTCGCCCGCGGAGGCGTAGGCGCGCAGCAGGCGGGAGGTCCACAGAGGCCGCCGGTTCCCCACCGACAAGTCCACCTCCAGCGGGCCTCGCGGGATCTTGAGGATGGGCGGCCTGGCCGTCAAGATGCTCGCCTTCACCCGGAAGGGCTCTGCCCCCCCCTCTCCTCCCTCCGCGTGCTCGCCGATCGAGGCCGCGAGGCTCACCAGCACTTCTTCTGCCTGGGGGCCGGGCCCCTGGTCCGCTGGCACATCTGCCAAGGCCGTCATGTCCAAATCACTGCTCCGCGTCCCAGAGCCGTGCGCGGAGCTTCCGAAGAGTACCAAGCGCCACCTTTCTCCATCCTTCAGCGTGCCCCGGACGACCTTCTCCAGCTCCCTCCTGCAATCCTCGGCGTCCTGCTCATCTTGCTCTGTGCGCCGCACTGGCCGCAACTGTTCCTGCAGCCACAGGTCGAGCTCGGCGTCGTCCATGGGAAGGAATCACTGGCAGCCATTGTGACGGCAAGAGAGGCGATCACTTCAAAACCAGGCCACACTGCGTAATGACGGTGCTGGGGGTCAGCGGAGCACAATGCTTCGCTTTGCTGGAACGGAAAACGGCGACGAGGGGTGGCGAGAGGAGTGATAGGAGGAGGCGAGGCCCCCTACCATCGAGTTGGTCATTCTATAGCAGGGCGACTTGCCATCGCTCGGACGTCCATTCCCCGCGCATGAGTTGTTCGCACGATGATCTCCATGCTCCTCGATGGTCCTTACCGATAACAAATGCACACGTCCGAGCGATGTCAAAAGACCCTCTCACAAGGAGAGTCTGAGGATTGCAACGGCATCTGCTGGCCCAGGAGCGGTCAGCATCGAATTGGCACCTCGGATCGGATCCGAACGTGCATGAATCGGGCCGCATCGGCACGTGGTCGGAACAGCGAATCGGGTCGGCTTCGCGAGCATGCGCAGCAATGTCACGTAAGCCTCAGGCCGCGTCGGGTCGGCGGCAAGTCGCACTCGAATCGGATCGAGCTGGCCAAAGCCGACGCCGAAGCGGAGCCGTCGCGTCGACATGGGCCCAGCCGCCTCCGAGCCAAGACAGCACGCGTTCGACTTGGAGTGTGACCTCGCGGGACCGGAGACCGCCGCTCCGATAAACCAGGGCGAACATGATCGACCCACGAACCCGGAAAGGAATATAGAAATGTAAGGCATGGCAACGTTTCAAAGACACCTGATTGGGCGATGGGCAAATGCAATGTTGAACGTATCGATCTTGATGTACCGTGCCGAGGGCTGTGCTGTGCTGGGCCGTGCTGAACTGCGATGAGCCATGCCGCGATTGTGCTCTATATATAGCGTTGTGGATCGAGTCCTCTTTGCATCCGAGTCCTGACCGAACTGATCTGGATCTTAAGCTCGAGCTGCCTGAGCAGATGGTAGCTGCCCCAGAACTAATAGACAAGGGGACATGCCAGGAGGACGCGTCGCGGAACGTCCCAAGGGACGCGCCAGGCGACGTGCCAGAGGACGTGCCATGGGCACGCACCGCGGAACGTGCCAAGGGGACGCGCTACGGAACGTGCCAATGGACGTGCATCGCGCGACGTGCCAGGGGGACTCGCCACGGGATGCTCCGCCGAACGTGCCAAGCAACATGCCAGGCTGCAATGCTAAAGTTATCGATATTGATGTACCGTGCCGAGGGCCGTGCTGTGCCTGGGCGACCTGGACACGTGAAAACCCTCGTTTCGCTCAAGACGTTCTCAGCACATCCTCATGCTAGACATCCGCCTGGGCAACCTGGACACGTGCAAACAAGCGTCTCGATCGAGACTTCCTCGACACATCCTCATGCTAGACATCCGCCTGGGCGACCTGGACACGTGAAAACAAGCCTCTGATTCGAGACATCCTCAACACATCCTCATGCTAGACATCTGTCTGGGCAACCTGGAGGCGTGAAACCAAGCGTCTCGCTCTAGACATCCTCAAGACCTGGGCACGTGAAAACAAGCATTTCACTTGAGAGATCCTCTGAATTCAGGTCCCCAGGAGAGGACAATATATAACACAAAACAAGCGTTTCGCTCGAGACATCCTCAATCAATTCTGATACATAACCGTTGCGCTCGAGACATCCTCGAATTTTCATCCGCCGGCCCTACGCGACCTCGTTCTTTATCGCAAAAGAAATTCGCCGGCCCTACAGCCGTCAAAACCGGGGGGAAACGAAACTCAAAGAGAACCCTGGGCCTAAGCCCTTTCCGGGAGAAGACGATCGACTCAAGGACGAGCTCGAGCAGATGACCCCGACATGCCTAGAGGTCCCCTGGACTTTTTTCCATTGCACGCGAACGACGTTGTTCAAAGTTTAGAGCTACCTCGCTGTTGTCGATGGCACGACAGGGCAGCGGGAACAGATACCTGGAAACGCTCCAGTCTCGAGGGGAGCGCGGGCAACAGACCAAGAGGCAACTGATGCGAAGTTTCCCCAACAACGCATCGGGACCCGTGACTGACCCAACACCGCCCAGGAAAACCCTCATGCGCACCTGGAAACATGATCGACCCACGAACCCGGAAAGGAATATAGAAATGTAAGACTTGGCAACGATTCAAAGACACTTGATTGGGCGACGGGCAAATGCAATGCTGAGTGTATCGATCTTGATGTACTCTGCCGAGGGCTGTGCTGTGCTGCGCCGTGCTGAATTGCGATGTGCCACGTGACGATTGTGCTCTATAGCGTTGTGGATCGAGTCCTCCTTTGCATCCGAGTCCTGACCGAACTGATCTCGATCTTAAGCTCGAGCTGCCTGAGCACATAGTAGCTGCCCAAGAGCTAATTCACGGGGGGGCATGCTAGGAGGACGCGCCGCCGAAAGTTCCAAGGGACGCGTCAGGCGACGTGCCAGGGGACGTGCCATGGGGACGCACCGCGGGAGTGCCAAGGGGACGCGCTACGGAACGTGCCAATGGACGTGCCAAGGTACGCACCAAGCGAGGTGCCAGGGGACGTGCCACGGGGACGCACCGCAGGACGTGCCAAGGGGACGCGCTACGGAACGTGGCAATGGACGTGCCACGGGACGTGCCAGGGGACGCGCCGCGCGACGTGCCAGGGGGACTCGCCACAGGACACGCCACGGAACGTGCCAAAGAACTTGCCAAGTTGCAATGCTGAATGTATCGATCTTGATGTACCGTGCCGAAGGCAGTGCTGTGCTGCGCCGTGCTGAATTGCGATGTGCCACGTGACGATTGTGCTCTATAGCGTTGTGGATCGAGTCCTCCTTTGCATCCGAGTCCTGACCGAACTGATCTCGATCTTAAGCTCGAGCTGCCTGAGCACATAGTAGCTGCCCAAGAACTAATTCACGGGGGGGGCATGCTAGGAGGACGCGCCGCCGAAAGTTCCAAGGGACGCGTCAGGCGACGTGCCAG